CTGCTGAATAAGTAAATAACAAAGAAATAAGGAAGAAAGCTACTTAGCTTACGAAGTTTACTAAAGTTGAGGTAGCTTAGATGAAAATTCCCATGACTGGGTTGTGTTTGAGTCTGACCAACCATATCACAAGAAACTACAAAAAAAGGAAACTTCGGTGACCCCAGAAACTGAGATTTATCCCATACACTAAGAGCAACTGGAAGACTCTGTCATCAAAAAATGAAGCTGAGGAGATGGGAGGTGGTGGCACACACCTTTAATCCCAGCACTCGGGAGGCAGAGGGTGAGTTCAAAGCCAGCCTGGTCTACAGAGAGAGCTCCAGGATGGCCAGGACTACACAGAGAAACTTTGTCTCAATAAACAAGAACAAGAACCAAAAAGGAAACTGAAGGGCTGAGACAGTGAAATAATACTTGCTGTGTAAACATGAGACTTGGGTCTAGAGCCCCAGCACCTATGAAAGAAGAAAGGTGTGGCATCACAGACCTATAATTCCAGTGCTGGAAACAGATATGGACAGTACCATAGGAACAATATAACCAGCCAGTCTACCACAGGGCATGATCCAGGCCAGCAAGAGACCCTGCCTCCAAAATTCATGGTGGTGCACGCCTTTAATCCCAGCACTCAGGAGGCTGGGATCTCTGAGTTCAAGGCCAGCCTGGTCTACAGAGCAAGTTCTAGGTCAGCCAGGGCTACAGAGAGAAACCCTGTCTCTAAATAAAGTGGAGAGCAATGAGAAAGTGCCAGCGTTGACCTCTGGCCACCACAAGCACACACATGCAAGCAAACCCTCCTCCAAACACACACACACACACACACACACACACACACAAATGATGCATTTTGATTATGCTTGGAGAAAGTCGTATTTCTTAAACTCTGCATTTCAGATTGATGTCCTCTGTGTGTGTGTGTGTGTGTGTGTGTGTGTGTGTGTGTGTGTGTGTGTGCGAGCGCACCTGTGGAGATTAGAGAACAGCTTGCTGGAGTCAGTCCTCTCCTTCCACATGGATTGAACTCAGGCCCCAGGCTTTTGCGGGGGACACTTTTACCCACTGAGCCATCTTGCCATCCCAAAACCTGTACCTCGTTTGTCATTCCATATGGTTGTAATATGTACAAAAGAAAAGAAATAACTTTAAAACAATTTAAATGAGATACAAAATATTTTTAAATAAGTGAAAAATAGTATGTACACACAGAGAGACTTGTGATAAAACCCAAAATACTTAACAGATAATTACATTTAAGAGGAAAAAAGTTAAAACGTGTTTATGGCCAGGTGTTGTGGCTCACACCTTTGATCCCAGCGCTCCAGAGGCAGAGGCAGAGGCAGGGAGATCTCTGTGAGTTTCAGCCCAGACAATGCTCAATAGTGAGACTCTCAGACTGGAGAGATGGCTCAATGGATAAAAGCCCTAGCTGCTCTTGAATAGGACCCAGGTTCCATTCCCAGCATCCACCGGGTAATTCACAACCATCTGTAAATCCAACTCCAAGGAATATTGCTCCATGGTGCACGTAAACAATTATACTCATAACATAAAAATAAAAATTGTGAATGTAGGATATCTGAGTTAAAGGCCAGGCTGGTTTACATAGTGAGTTCTAGGACATCCAGGATTGCACAGAGAAACCCGTCTTGAAAAAAATCAAAAAGAAAATGGGGAGATGTAAATGTAAATAAATTACATCAAAATGTATTTATAAAGCCAGGCATAGTGGTGTGTGCCTGTTATCTCAGCAGGAGGATCCCAGAAAGTTCAAGGATTGCCAGGGCTGCAAATCAAGGACCAGCAATCAGGGTTACATAATGACTCTGTCTCAAAAATTAATTAAAAGCCAGTGTGGTAGTGCACACCTCTAATCCCTTGGTACATGGATTAAGAGTTCAAAGTCATCAGACTGGTGGTGGTGCTCGCCTTTAATCCCAATACTTGGGGGGCAGAGGCAGGCGGATCTCTGTGAGTTCCAGACCAGCCTGGTCTACAAGAACTACTTTCAGGACAGCCTCCAAAGCCACAGAGAAACCCTGCCTCAACCCCCCCCCCGAAAAATAATAAAAAATAAAAAATAAAGAGTTTGCCAGGTGTTGGTGGCACTTGCCTTTAGTCCCAGCTCTTGGGAGGCAGAGGCAGGTGGATCTCTGTGAGTCTGAGACCAGCCTGGTCTACAACAGCTAGTTTCAGGACAGTCTTCAAAGATACAAAGAAACACTGTCTCGAAAAACCAAAATAAATAAATAAATACATAAAAAAAATAAAGAGTTCAAAGTCATACTTACCTGCATTTCGAATTTGAGGCCAGCCTAGGCTTTGTGAGAATCTATGTCAATAAGATCAATAAATATAAATAAATCATATTCATGTAGAAAAAATATGTATGTATGTATGTATGTATGTATGTATGTATGTATGTATGTATGTATTTGTATGTGTGTTTGCCTGTGTAAGTTAATGTGCACTCTGTACACACAGAGTGCTTAGTGGAATCAATTGCCTGCCTGATCTCACATTAAGGAGCCACCCTGGTTGCCAAAGGATTTTAAAATGGTTCTAAAGCATCCCTAATGGAGTCCTGGTTTCCATGGCGACACATGGTCCTGCGGTTTCCATGACAACACCTTGCAGAGCAGTTTCCAAGACAACACATCTCTGCAACCTCTCCATCTCTGCTTTGTGTTTAGGGTTATTTTTCCATCTTCTTCCTCTCTCTTTAGCCTTTGGGTTTCTTTTGTATTTGGTTGGGTTTTGTTTTTGCTTGGAGATGCGATGTTACATTGCCCAGGCTGGCCTCTTATTTGCTATTTGCCAAAGACGGCCTTGTGCTTCTGATCTCCTCCCCAGCGCTATTGCAGGCATGAGTCAGCATGCCCTGCTCCACATCTTTTGCTTTGAGATGGGCTTTGACTGTGTGGTTCAGGCTGCCTTGGAACACAAGGCCCTCCAGCATCAGTGCCCCAAGTCCTGGGACGGCAGGCCTGTGCCACCATACCTGGCTAGACTTCAGGTTTCTCTTTTACCCTGCTGTGTATTTTAGTTGAGAACCCATCCAATTTCTAGAAATGCCAACTCCAGAGAAGGTTTAGGGGTTGTCTTAGTTTGTTTTTCCATCGCTGTGATAAACACCATGACCGAAAAGCAACTTGAGGAGCCAAGGGTTTATTGCACCTTGCAGTTGCAGTCCCCCACTGAGAAAAGTTGAGCCAAGAACCTAGATCTGGGGCTCAGGCTGAGGCTGTGGAGGAGTGCTGCTTACTGGCTTGCTCCGTTTGCTTTCTTATCCACCCAGCACCTTCAGCCCAGGGGTGGCACCGCCCACAGTGGGTTGAGCCCTCCTGCATCAAATCATCAATCAAGAAAATGGCCCACAGGCTTGCCTACAGCCAGTCTGATGGGGGCTTTTCTCCGTGGGGGTTTCCTCTTCTCAAGCGAACCTAGCAGGTGTCAAGGCAACAGC